GGGCACCGTGCCCACCACGGGCAACCCCCGCCAGAAGGAGACTGCTCACCCATTGCCAGACCTGGCCCAGAGACACACACTGCACACAGAGCACGTCTCTGCCAGTGTCACCAAAGGATGGTCTCTTTCCACCACCATGACATGGTTTACAGTGCAAATTCCCCAACGGATTCCCCCACACCGCATACCTCACTTTGGACCAAACCAGTTTGGTTTCCTGCATGACCATTTCACTGAATTTCACTGAATTTCACTGAATTTTAGAGTGGGAAGGGACCATAGAGATCATCTAGTCCAAATCCCCTGCTGAAGCAGGATTGCCTAGAGCTTGTCAGAGCATGTTACTCAGGATTTAGCCAACCAAAGTAACTGCTTTTGCCCCTCCACACATCTTGGACAATCAACGGGCCTCTCAATTCAGGGGGTTGTTGAGGGCTTGATAAACAGTTCAGGGGTAACTACCAGCTCAGCTCCCTGCCCTTCCCCAATTTATTGGCTTGACACTGCTCTAATGCCCCCAATGTCTACCAGCCTGAAAAGGGAAAGGGTTTTCATTTCAAGGCAAAATTCCTCAAACTTAATTGTTATGTGAGGCTTTGTATTCCTTGAATCATCTCTGTTGCCCTTCACTGGACTCTCTCCAGCAGTTCCCTGTCCCTCTTGAACTGGGGAGCCCAGAACTGGACACAGTACACCAGTTGTGGCCTCCCCAGTGCAGAGCAGAGGGGGGGAATGACTTCCCCATTATTCTTGTTATTTACACATGAAAATCATTTTTTTGAAAGTAAATTATTCCAAATGTGCAATCCAGCCCCGCTGGCAATAGTGCAGGTTCTACCAGCAGAGGGAAGATGCAACAAAATCTCTTCTGTTGTTTTGTTTTTTTTTTTTTCCCCCTGAGATTCAAAACCTGACATTTCTAAACCCACCAGTCCCTTTGCGTCATCTCGGAGAGGCAGTAAACAAGTTTGATTGAAACTCCATTGAAAACAATACATCCTGATTCAAGGAAAAAGATTTTATTTTCGAGCTAACAAGTTGATAATAAATAAAGGAATATAATAATGTAATAGCAGATGTTCTCATGCACTTAACACATACAATAACGCTGGCTTACACTGCTGTTTGGACAAATTGAGAAGAGGTATTTGGCAATATGATAAGTTTAGATAGTTTATAGAACAAGAAATTCCGCTGTTTTTACATTTCCTTTATACAAATTCAAATAAATATTAATAAATCTATTTTTCCTCAGATTTTCTGTTCACTTTTAACATGCCCGATACCTAAGCCATAGTAATATACAACTGCCAAGAAAGAGTATTTATGGATTATACTTATTCCTAAAAATGTATCATATTTATGTCATATTGTGCAAGCTCTTTAGGTAAAATTACATTTTAGGAAAAATTGCAAAAAATTTAAACTCATTAAAACATATCCAGTGCAAAGGCCAGTCTAGTCCACACATTATGGTACTGTAATGTAAGCCAAGGTAATTTAAATAATAAAACATGCCTATATGATTCAGAGGAAGCAGAGTATGTTTTATGATTTGAAGATCTGACGTCTAATATGCAGATTCTGCAATATCAGGCACATTTCAAATCTTCACGAGATGGCAAAAATAACGTTAAGACTTTTTAAGTAGGCTCTTTTTTTTTTTTTTTAATATTATTTTAGGATAACTCACATTAACAGTACTACAGTGGCCAAAAAAAGACAAACTATTATAATAGAAATCAATCTGATTAAAAAAATTAAATATTCCAATTAACACTGAAAAAGTGTTTGTAATCATTATTTACAGTTCATCAATGATACCAGTGTATGACCTCACACAGCCACAGGACACCCTTTCCTTCCCAAGCCGGTGCCGACCCCCGTGTCCCCTCAGGGGTTCCCCGGTCGATGCCGTCGATGCCGGGGGCTCAGTTTAAAGAGGGAGATCGATCCGTGCTCCAGAGTAACTCTATGTAGGGCCATTTGGTTTGCAAGCAGCGTTTGACTGGGGTGTCATCAGTCTGTAGCATCGGCTCTTCAAACCCCATGACGACGGCCGTGCCTTCCACGTACATGACCTGACAACAGACGAGCCGTTACATCACCCTACTTGTTCAAAAACTCTACCATGAGATGGTAAGGACATGAGGTGTAACATCAGCAAGTTTGCAGATGACACCAAGTTAAGCAGGAGTGTTGACTCCCAGGAGGAGAGGGAAGCTTTGCAAGAGGATCTAGATAGATTGGATCACTGGGCCAATGCCAATGGGATGAGTTTCAACAAGGGCAAGTGCCAGGTCCTGCACTTGGGCCACACCAACCCCCTGCAGCACCACAGGCTGGGGGAAGTGTGGCTGGAGCTGCCTGGAGGAAAGAGACCTGGGGGTTCTAGTTGACAAAGGGCTGAATATGAGCCGGCGTGTGCCCAGGGGGGCAAGAAAGCCAATGGCATCCTGGCTTGTATCAAAAATAGTGTGACCAGCAGAAGTAGGGAGGTGATTGTGCCCCTGTACTCAGCACTGGGGAGGCCACACCTCGAGTGTTGTGTCCAGTTTTGGGCACCTCAATACAAGAGAGATCTGGAGGTGCTGGAGCGAGTGCAGAGGAGGGCAACGAAACTAGTGAAGGGCCTAGAAGACAAATCATATGAAGAGCGGCTGAAGGAGCTGGGGCTGTTTAGTGTGAGGAAGAGGAGGCTGAGGGGAGACCTCATCACTCTCTACAACTACTTGAAAGGACACTGTAGAGAGGTTGGTGCTGGTCTCTTCTCACAGGTAATTAACAATAGAACGAGAGGGAACGGCTTCAAGCTCCAACAGGGGAGGTTTAGATTGAACATTAGGAAGGAATTTTTCACCGAAAGAGTGGTCGGGCATTGGAACAGGCTGCCCAGGGAGGGGGTGGAGTCACCATCCCTGGCTGTGTTTAAGGGCCGTTTAGATGCAGTGCTGAGGGACATGGTGTAGGGGAGGACTTTGTAGAGTAGGGGAGATGGTTGGACTTGATGATCCCAAGGGTCTCTTCCAACCTCAATGATTCTATGATTCTATGATTCTATGATTATTTTCACCACGTTAGGTGAGGATTTGTTAGGATAGGTTTTTATTTACTACAAAAGTCAAATCCATCAAGTTATATAGTTTTTTTTTTAATGAAATGAAGTATAAAAATCAAAAAAACACTAATCTCAGACTCAAGTGCTTGAAAATCCCAACTGGGCCATATTCATGTGACTGGTTACTTCAATAGACACTAAAGACCAAACCTGGGGGAAAAAACCAGTCTGGGAAATGCAATGCACCAATTCTGTGAGCACAGATCTCAGACAACGGATCTCCCACTGCTGCAGGTGCAAAGTTTGATATTCTCATTTCAGAAGGACTGTTCTCCTTAGACTTCACTTCCTGGAATTAACTTTCCATAGAATGGAACTCCTGTTGCAAATCAGCTCTATTCATAAAACAGCATTTAAAATTCTGTAAGTAGAATCCTCTCAAAACAAACATTTGTTTCAATTTTCTCGATTATGTATATGTGTTCCATAGTAAAGATAAATGTATCTTTGAATGCTTTTGCCTCCATTTTGGGGTATGAAACTGCTGGAGATTCCACAGGGGTGATTTTAAGGACCTCCAAAGTTCTGAAGACTGAATCTATACATTTTCTCAAAGAGTCTTCTTACTTGAAGTAATTTTTGTTCCCTAAGTCTGTGAACCCCTTACATTTTTTTACCCTAAATGCTATTTCAGGACCTTACTTATAAGCAGTCACGGTGTGTCACATATCCCCCTCCTTCCAAGAAAGCTGAAAGTGAAACAGGCCATTTTTGTCCCTAAGTAGCTGCAAAAAAAACCCTGATTTTTGAGGCAAGTCTGGGATACTAAAATATTTCCAAAAAATTCCAAACATCTCAATTTAGATGTAGGGCTACTTCTAGAACTTGTAGTTTGTGTTACACCTCCATTCTCCTTTACGTTTCAGACCCCACTTCTCATGGATAAGCGTGAGCAACGCAGAGCTTCAGCGGTGTGGTCCAGCCAACCAACACACTGCACCAGCTGGCAGGTACCAGGAGCACAGAGCAGTTCCCAACGCCAAATATATCATTTTGGAAGAGAATTATTTAAATAATAGTTTTGTAAAAAGTCTGTTTCAAGTTCATAGAATCATAGAATCATTGAGGTTGGAAGAGACCCTTGGGATCATCGAGTCCAACCATCTCCCCTACTCTACAAAGTCCTCCCCTACACCATGTCCCTCAGCACTGCATCTAAACGGCCCTTAAACACAGCCAGGGATGGGGACTCCACCCCCTCCCTGGGCAGCCTGTTCCAATGCCCGACCACTCTTTGGGTGAAAAATTCCTTCCTAATGTTCAATCTAAACCTCCCCTGTTGGAGCTTGAAGCCGTTCCCTCTCGTTCTGTCACTAATTACCTGTGAGAAGAGACCAGCACCAACCTCTCTACAGTGTCCTTTCAAGTAGTTGTAGAGAGTGATGAGGTCTCCCCTCAGCCTCCTCTTCCTCATACTAAACAGCCCCAGCTCCCTCAGCCGCTCCTCATATGATTTGTTTTCCAGCCCCCTCACCAGCTTCGTTGCCTCCTCTGCACTCGCTCCAGCACCTCCAGATCTCTCTTGGATTGAGGTGCCCAAAACTGGACACAACACTCGAGGTGTGGCCTCCCCAGTGCCGAGTCCAGGGGCACAATCACCTCCCTACTTCTGCTGGTCACACTATTTTTGATACAAGCCAGGATGCCATTGGCTTTCTTGCCCCCCTGGGCACACGCCGGCTCATATTCAGCCGTTTGTCAACTAGAACCCCCAGGTCTCTTTCCTCCAGGCAGCTCCAGCCACACTTCCCCCAGCCTGTGGTGCTGCAGGGGGTTGGTGTGGCCCAAGTGCAGGACCTGGCACTTGCCCTTGTTGAAACTCATGCCGTTGATCTTGGCCCAGTGATCCAATCTATCTAGATCCTCTTGCAAAGCTTCCCTATCCTCCTGGGAGTCAACACTCCTGCTTAACTTGGTATCATCTGTGAACTTGCTGATGATACACCCTATGACCTTATCGAGATCATCAATAAAGACGTTAAATAGAAATGGTCCCAGCACTGAGCCCTGAGGCACACCACTAGTGACCGGCTGCCAGCTGGATTTGAATCCATTGAGCACCAAGTTCAAGCATTTTGCCCGTAACTATAGTCAGTTTTGTACACTAATTGTGACTGGGGCTAGATTTCTGTTTCTTCAATCTTACCTTTTCGTTGTAGTTCGATTGCTTCAGGCCATTGTAATGGTAAACGGTGAATGACTCCGACACCCGGGAATCCTGGGGGAAAGAAGACAGTTAATTTCACGTGACATATCCATCATCCCTGGCTGTCTCTTCTCTTTACGACTAGACAGATGCATTTCAACAGGAAGACTCAAGGAAATTGTAAAAAAAAAAAAATTTTTTTATAGGTGACATTGTCTTGAAGACTTTGTTCATTTACCCTTTCTTGTAAGAAATAAAAAAAAAAAAAGATGGCAGTAAGTTCATGGGTAACAACCCCAAGAGTGAGTCATTACTTTCTGTGTTCATCTGGACACTTTAAACTACAACTTCAGCACTGACCGTGTTGAAACTGTCCTAATTTTTGAAGTCAGACACCTTACGCAGTAGCCACATTTGCATGAATTTATGGCTGTTTGGATGCTACAAAGTTAAATATCTACTAATGACCAGATCCAATCTCCAACTCTATTTGAAGGCCAAAAAGTAAATTTATGCTCAACCCTACCTAACCGTAAAGGAATCGTGGAGACACCTGTTCAGCTGAGGCCCAGCAGCAGATGCTGCCGTCGTCAACCTCCCCGTGCCAGGTGGGGCGAGGCTTTAGTCCTAAAAGGACTGAAAAGCTTTGCATTTCACTGAGGCAGGAAACACAACCCACGTGTAATATCATCTCTTTTGTGCCTGCCAGACCGGGCTCCAAACAAAAGCTTCTCCCGTTTTTAAGTACGTGGAGGTGAAGGCTGGAAGAAGCAGCCATCTGCTCGGGTTACAGCACATCCACCAGATTATGAAAAGCCCTCATTCATCCTTCTCCTCTGAAGGGATTCAAACCCCTTATCTCTGGTGGGTCTCTCACAGCCACCCGGCACCCCCGGGAGAGGGAGGGTGGGGAACGGGAAGGGAAATGGTAATGACTTTCACGAGTTGCTTTGCAGAGATGAATAAAAAATGATCCTGCACCTGGGGAAGAAGAATGTCAGGCATCAATACAGGTTAGGCATGGACCTGCTGGAGACAAGCTCTGAAGAAAAGGATCTGGGGGTCCTGGTGGACAACAAAATGACAATGAGCAAACAGTGTGCCCTTGTGGCCAAGAGGCCAACGGAATCCTGGGCTGCGTAGGGAAGAGTGTGGCCAGCAGGTCAAGGGAGGTCATTCTCCCCCTCTGCTCTGCACTGGGGAGGCCACAACTGGAATCCTGCGTCCAGTGCTGGGCTCCCCAGTTCAAGAGGGACAGGGAACTGCTGGAGAGAGTCCAGCGTAGGGCAACAGAGATGATGGAGGGATTGGAGCATCTCCCTGATGAGGAAAGGCTGAGAGAGCTGGGGCTCTTTAGCCTGGAGAAGAGAAGGCTGAGGGGAGACCTTATTAATGCTGACAAGTATCTCAAGGGAGGGTTGAAGGAGGAGGGAGCCAGACTCTTTTCAGTGGTTCCCAGTGAGAGGACAAGGGGCAACGGGCACAAGTTGGAACATAAAGGGTTCCACTTGAATATGAGGAAGAACTTCTTCACGGTGAGGGTGGCAGAGCCCTGGAACAGGCTGCCCAGGGAGGGTGTGGAGTCCCCTTCTTTGGAGATTTTCAAGACCCGCCTGGATGCTCCTGAGTAACATGCTCTAGCTCTGGGCAATCCTGCTTCAGCAGGGGAGTTGGACTAGATGATCTCTATGGTCCCTTCCAACTCTAAAAATTCAATGAAATTTAGTGAACACCAAGCTTTGCCGGGAAGGAGAGGGCAGTTATTCTTCTCCCTGAGGAAGAAGGCTCACCCTGAAGGAAAAGAGCTGCTGCTTTCCAGTTCTTGTCCCATGGATGTTAAAAATTTTCTGCCTTAATTGTTTCCCCAAAAAAGGGTTCCCGAGGAGTTCAGGAATCCTCGTCTCCAGGTGACTTCCCTGAGCACCAAAGAGTCAGGCTCTCTCTCAGGCTGAGTGATCTTTGAGTATTTTTCTTCTGAGCCAAGCTTTGAAAAGGAAGGCTGAGATCCCTTCCTGCTTTTGGGATGGAGTAAGAATGGGGTTTTGAATATTCTTAGCAAAGGAGGAATCAAATCTGGATCTCCTGAGCACTAGCTACATGTTCAAATATTGTCTAAAGGGGAACATCAACAATTCCAGCCATCACTGGCATCTGCTCTTGCCTCACAGTATTTTAAAGAAATACGTTTATCTTCCTTTCTGCAGAATTTCCCTTTCAGAAAGGATTGTGAAGGAGCCTCAGTGTGAGTAAGGCTCCGGCTGAGTGACCCACAGACGGGACGACCGACCCGTGCACTCAGCAATCCCTCAGTGGGTGATGCTGGCAGGTTCCAGCCCAAAACCTTCCCATCGTTTGGCCCGTTCCCCCGAGGCAGTAACACTTCCCATGGTTTGTGCCGGAGCCAGGGAAGGTCCCACAAAATGGAGGCAGGGAATGAGGTGGGGCGGGGGGACAGCACCTGACAGACAGGCCCTGCCGCGGGGGCTCCAGCTTCACAGCAGGGAAATGGCTCCTCCACCAACTCTCTCGAGGTGACTAAGGTGGGGATGGCCCCACCATTCGACTGTGCTCCTTTCTCCAGCTGCCCTTCTCCTGGAGCTGGAGCGAGTGCAGAGGAGGGCAACAAAACTAGTGAAGGGCCTAGAAGACAAATCATACGAAGAGCGGCTGAAGGAGCTGGGACTGTTTAGTATGAGGAAGAGGAGGCTGAGGGGAGACCTCATCACTCTCTACAACTACTTGAAAGGACACTGTAGAGAGGTTGGTGCTGGTCTCTTCTCACAGGTAATTAACAATAGAACGAGAGGGAACGGCTTCAAGCTCCAACAGGGGAGGTTTAGATTGAACATTAGGAAGGAATTTTTCACCCAAAGAGTGGTCGGGCATTGGAACAGGCTGCCCAGGGAGGGGGGGGAGTCCCCATCCCTGGCTGTGTTTAAGGGCCGTTTAGATGCAGTGCTGAGGGACATGGTGTAGGGGAGGACTTTGTAGAGTAGGGGAGATGGTTGGACTCGATGATCCCAAGGGTCTCTTCCAACCTCAACAATTCTATGATTCTTTGATTCCTTCTTCAGGCAGTGAGGCCATTTGGCAACGGGCAACACAATGATTCTATGATTCTATGATTCCTTCTTCAGGCAGTGAGGCCCTTTGGCAACGGGCAACATGGGCAGTGGCCCCAGGCGGTGGCTGTTTTCTCCTGGAGCTGCCTGTGGTCTGCAGAGCTGGGCAGTGTAGGCACAGCCCATTCTGGAGGATGTTCTTGGGCTTTCTGAACTTCATTCTGAGCAGCTGGGGCCTAAAATTAAGCAGCGGACTCTTCCAGATTTGCAATTGTAATATGATTGTTAAGAAATAAGAATCAGCTATATTCAATTGTAAAGATATTTCCACTTCTGGATATACAGACTGAAAGGAAGAAGAAACAGCTGGCATATACACAACACAGATGTAATTCTGTAAATCTGGAGAAAACGAACACTGGAGCTCTTTCCTCTGGATGATGAATCATCTCGTAGTGATGCATCCAGGCCCCACCATCTTTGGCAGTACAGCTCTCCAGCTCTCGTGGTTTCTGAATGCCCACCCTGTAGCACAGTGCAGACGCTACCCCCGAACAGCACTGCACAGCCCTGGGCAAAGAGTCTTGCTGAAGACATTTTAAAAATATTAGTTTCACATTTCCTTGGTTGTAAAAATTAAGCCACATAGTTTTAATGACACGTTAAGCCACAAAAGTCTCCAGGGAAGCACTCCTCAGCCCTTCTCTTGCCTCCCCAGACAATCTTTCTGTCACTGGGGAAACCCTCTCTCTTCTGCCAATAGAAGCATTGGCAGGGCCATGGAACAAGCCTCCATAAACCTGCAGAGAGAGCTCTCACCCAGCTCCCTCTTCTGCTTTACCACGTTATCTGTAGAAAGAGGTTCCTGGTGGCAGGAGGGAGACACCACGAGGGCAGGAAAACATGACCCAGGGCAAGGGGAGAAGAGGACAGTTGGTGCTTGGCTCACGCACGCTCCTCAGTGGTGATGCCATCTTAAACGAGTACATGGAACCCATGGAGACTTTGAAAATAATTTTCCATGACCCTGGCAGATACTGACTTCCCCATCAGGACCTGGACAGGCCTGAAAGGTGGGCTCCTGCAAATCACATGAAGTTCAACCAAGCCAAGTGCAGGGTCCTGCCCCTGGGACACAGCAATCTCAGGCACAAATACAGGTTGGGCAGAGAATGGCTGGAGAGCAGCCCTGAGGAGAAGGAGATGGGGGTGTTGGTGGACAAGAAGCTCAACATGAGCCAGCAATGTGCACTGGCAGCCCAGAAAGCCAACCCCATCCTGGGCTGCATCAAGAGAAGTGTGGCCAGCAGGGCAAGGGAGGTGATTCTGCCCCTCTGCTCTGCTCTGGTGAGACCTCACCTGGAGCTCTGTGTCTCCAGCTCTGGATCCTCAGCACAGGAAGGACATGGACCTGTTGGAACGGGTCCAGCAGAGGGCCACAAACATGATCAGAGGGATGGAGCACCTCTGCTGTGAGGACAGACTGAGAGAGCTGGGGTTCTTCAGCCTGGAGAAGAGAAGGCTCCGGGGAGACCTTAGAGCAGCCTTCCAATATCTGAAGGGAGCTACAGGAGAGCTGGGGAGGGACTCTGTCAGGGAGTGTATCAATAGGACAAGAGGGAATGGTTTTAAACTGAAAGAGGAGAGATTTAGAATAGATATTAAGAAAAAATTCTTCACTGTGAGGGTTGTGGGACAGGTTGCCCAGAGAAGCTGTGGCTGCCCCATCCCTGGAGGGGTTCAAGGCCAGGCTGGATGGGGCTTGGAGCAACCTGGTCTGGTGGGAGGTGTCCCTGCCCAGGGCAGGGGGGTTGGAACTCCATGATTTTAAGGTCCCTTCCAACCCAAACCGTTCTATGATTCTGTGATGTGCTAAACATAACTGTATCATGACTTTTTGTTAAACTGCCAAAAATCTTACATTCTGAGAGATATACACAAAAGTAGTTTCAAATCTGTTTGTAACCTTTTTCCATTTGCTAGCGATTGCAGCAGACCTCTGTAATATTGATACAAACACTATGGTCCTTTGATGTCAGAAAAACTAACTCAGATGAACTTTTTGAGTAGGGAACCAGTTCAATTTCATATACAAAGTGATTATGTATTACCTGGAGTTAATTTTAGAATTTGTCACTATAATGGAGTTTCCTTCCAGTTTGAAGCTGACCAAGTCATGGACACCTTATGCAAAAGGGAAGCCTACAGTTTGTTGTGTAAAACAAGAAGTTTATGTGCTGCCCAGCTGTGTCAACTGAATGCAATACTTATTATCATTAAAAATAGCTCTGTGATACTGATGCTTAATCACTCGGTGTTTAATGAATCTCAAAGACAAGCAGAATAGACAAGGCTCTGCAGCAACAAAGCTCTAGTGATTACCTGCTCGGGGAAAAATTCTTGCAGAAAGGGACCCAGTAATATGATGCCCAGTCCTTCTGGGTCTAATTTGGTCTTCATGAGGTTTACGCTGTGACAAGAGCATTGAGCATAAAAGTATGAGTAAGACATTTTTATTCTTGCATGACTAAGTTCTGCTGTGCTACCACCACTACTGGCTGCCAAGTATAGCAATGCTATTCTATTTTTAATCCTAAGTGACAACCGCACCAGAATGGCATGCAAGTTACCAAAACACGGTTATTTTTAAATAAAAGTAATCTGTTATTTTAAATTAAATAAATGGTAATTCTGAAGGACCACCATATTTGGTAAAATAATTTGAAACCCATAGAATCTAAACCCATGTTTACAGCCCAAAAGGCGTGTTGCTGTCTTGTAAGCGTTCTTGAACATAAACCAGTCATCTTTTAAACACAGCCCTGTAAGTGCCAAACAACCTGTTTTCAAATGGAGATTTGAAAAGCCTCCAAGATTTTCTAAGTACACTGAAAAAAAAAATGAAGTTTAACAGACACATTTATATCACGTCCTTGATATCAAAGAAGCCAAAACCAATAAATAATGAAAATATTAATGGTACTAATCTGAGAGCCTTACTGCATGAATGTGGTATAACTTCAAGCCAGTACGAATGAATGTAAATTATAACTTTCTATTTCTATTTAAGCAATCTATTTCTACAGGCATCACATTGCTTAAACATTTATTTGCCTCTACCTATCCTCCCGCCTAAGGTACAAGTTGGACCGTGCACAAGAATGTCCTCTTTGGGTCAAACCAACAAAGCCTCTTGCCCAGTATCCTGACACTGGTCAGTACTGGATGCTTATGACAGAGTACAACAGGGCAAACAGACGGTCATCTCCTCAGTTTACCCTCCCCCTTTCCAGCAGTCTGCTGCTCAAAGACATCATCCATCAGAGGCAGTAGCTAAAACACAATGATATTTTTCTCCTTTCCATAGAATCATAGAATCATTGAGGTTGGAAGAGACCCTTGGGATCATCGAGTCCAACCATCTCCCCTACTCTACAAAGTCCTCCCCTACACCATGTCCCTCAGCACTGCATCTAAACGGCCCTTAAACACAGCCAGGGATGGGGACTCCACCCCCTCCCTGGGCAGCCTGTTCCAATGCCCCACCACTCTTTCGGTGAAAAATTCCTTCCTAATGTTCAATCTAAACCTACCCTGCATGTGCCTGATTGGCTTTGAACCCATGTGCACTTGTGGCACTTCATAAACTCCACTCACAAAATGAAAACTAAACTATGGATCCGAGAAATAAGTATCTCCTGTTTTGAACATGCCACCTGTAAAAATGGTGATGGACGTAACTCTCTTTTCTGGGCGAAGCATTTAGTGGCAAAACAGTAAGCGTCGACCCTGAAGGTTAATTGCTGCCACTGAGTATTATTCCTGTCTGTCCACAAAAAACCTAAAATAAAGGACCTTTCTCATTTGATAGTTTTAACATTAATCCTAGGAATTGAAGTGCCATTCCTGGAAACAAATGTCAATTCTGAACACAACAAGGTACTGAGTATGGGTGGAAACAAAAGTGTAACTGAAGTAGCTTCACCTTCCAACTCTGCAGATAGATCTAGTGCTAATCCTTGGTTGGTTGACTCTTCTGTCCCACAGTTTCACCCTCACTAACACCCAGACACACAGTCACACCTAGCTCCTCCCTACAGAGTCAATGCAGTCACTTTGAGGGCTTTTTTTTTGGCTTCTGGTTATCACTACCAAGTTAGAGACATTTTAATTTGAATTCCTCCCATTTAATTTAAAGCTGACTTCAACACTTCAAAGTAACATTCTGTGCCCAGAATACGAGCTAGAAAAAAACAGAAAAAAATCCTAAATTATAATTTATATATGGTTAACTGAACCACCTGTAGTAATTAAGTATAATATCATTATACTTACTATTCAGGATCTGAAACAAGGTCGAGAGCCTTCATTACATCTTCTAGGAGAGTGTCAGGTATAAAACCATTATCTGAAGAAGTCACAAAGCTTCTCATTAGGAAAAGAAACAAAATGTTTTCCAAGAGTACAAATTTTATTCAAAAATACAAATACTGCATATCTTTATCTCTAAGATTTGCAAACAAATGGTGAGGTTCTGGAAGAAACATGGTTTCAAACACTTGTCTCCCACTTTAAAAAAAAAAAGAGGAGTGCAATACAGAAATTACAGGTTTATCATTCATACCCATAGAAGCTTAATACTTGCTAAGAATTCCATCTCTTTATAGAAATCTCTATTTGATACCATAGGATAACAACTGTAGATTTTTTTGCCTTGCTGAAATAGTACCTGTATGTTAGACATCCTCTGTTTTCCAAAACATAAGAAAATTTCAGTGCATGCCACATACATGCAAGAGCAAACTTTCACAAAGAATGCAATCATAGCTGATCAGTTCTTTTATAAAAATGGAATATAAGATAAATCAAATTATATTTAAGCTTTATGTTAATTGCAAACATTACATGGTTAAAAAAGCTTATTCTCTAAGAACTCTACCTCCTATTGCACAATGCAGTACTCAACTTCCCTTACTACAGAATTCTTAGAAAATTTCTTCATGTCATTTGTAGATTGACTACTGTATTGAAAATAAGAATTCTTAAGTACTAAGGATTTCATTCATCTCTTAATCAGCTCAGATGTAAACAGCATATTACCCTGGCATGGAAGGGACAATGGATTTGAAAGTGTAGTATTGGGAACAAATTTTAGAAAATAATGATCCTGTTTTTGAAGAGGCACCCTACACAATGCAATATTCATTACTATTAGGAATTTGTCTCCACTGAGTAAGTACATGCCGATTATAAGATCTTATTTCAGCAAGAGTTACAGCCCTTACCCTCAGGGTCGTAGGTCTGGAAAACCCTTCTAGCTTGTTCTGAAGGTGCTTCAGGAGCAACAAGGGCCATATCCTTAGGGAAAAAAAAAAAAGAGAAAAATTTAATAATATTCTTAATTTAGATAAAGATTAATAAGGAAATACTTAGCCATACTACACAGGTTTGGACACTAAATTTATAAAAATTTCAATACAACAGAAGAAAAATTACATCATTTAGCAATATTGCTGATAGCAATGTAAAATTATCAAGAAATGTGTTGCAGATTATTCCATAAACTTCTGACAAATTTCTAGACAAAGTCTTATCATGCAGATATTGTGGCACAAAACCTACTTGGAGACTACATGTATTATGTGGAGATTTAGATTTATAGTATCATTCTTTGTATCTGAAAACACATGCACATATACCAGTGAAATTTAGTGAGTGTACTATGCATGGATTGTGACAGTTAAAGTTATTTAGACAAAAAGCTGTAAGATAATGTTTAAAGTCCATTTCACAGAATGAGAACCCAGATTTGTTAGCTGTGTGAAAAGGTACGATTTCAGTAGTAGCTATTGTAATACTTTTATCTGTGCCTTTTAAAATCTCAAATACAATCCTGCTTTCTAAGACATATGCAGAGGTACATGTCTATCTTTTATTGCAAAACCAGCTGAAAGCATCTCTCTCTGACTTTATGCCAAAAAAATTGTTATTAAAAAGTAACATTTTAAGTTATTCATGAGAAATGAAAGGTGGCACAACAGGTAAGAAATGCACCTATTCAAGACATCCTTTAGTTTGAAAAGATACGAAGACTTGACATGCAAATAGAACACAGGACTCCAAAATAGAGCTCCAAAAACTGCTCGCCAGCAGTACTTAAATCCTACATCTCCTCTTGCAAATTTACCATCACCTATGTTGGTTTACACACAGAAAGGGAAATGAAAAACTGGCTCAGAGGGGAACGCTGCATTTGGCAATGTCCCCTCTAAAGTTTTTTCTTTCTGGCGAAGTGAAAAAGTGATGTTTCCTGCTGTGCTATGAACAGTGAAGGCAAAAGACAGACTCTGACTACCATTAAACCCTGGGAAACTTGCTTTTGTTCATATTGTATTAAGAACATTGATTTGTTACAAATCAAAAAGTTACCTCCAACCGTTTTATAAAGTATACATAATCTTTTGTTCTTTTTATTTCTTTTCTATTTATTTCCAGCTCAGCTCAACTTTGCTTTCTGAAGATGATTCAGGTTTTCTTGAAAGAGACAACCATGATTACACCTGTATGAACAGTGAACTTGGGTCTAAACCCTGCAAGTCTGTAGTACTTCATTGGAAGGAAGGCACGGAAAAGAAATCAGAAAATTTAGAATTAGAAGATACAAAATGACCCACTATTCTTCTAACAGATTAAGAGAAGTGCTTCAGGGAAAGAACAGAAGCAAATCATACATTTGACCAGAATTTCACTCTTATCGAGCTTCTCCTAATTGCTGACTCTAAATCAGTCAAGAATTTTAAGTATACACCTAATGGCACCCAGCATATACTTCAAAACCTTCCTGGATGAGAGCCAGCTGCCTAGGACACACCAACAGGGACAACACGGAACACAAGAGACACTTAAAAATAACAAGCAACACTTTTACTTTGAACAGATGAATGACACAGCTAGTACTGGCATAAGATGCATACAATGAGGGCGACAAAGCTCCCCTCGCTTCCCCGTACAGGAAATTGGGTATTATATGAGACAAAAAGTTAGGAGAAACTGCCCTGTCTTCCAGGGCTCTGGGTCACCGATTATGTACGTTCACTCCTAAGGGCCGCTCCATGGCCACCCGAGCACAACGCAAACATCTACACTACTGAGCGACGCGGTGTGCGGGGGGAACCACAGAACTGTTGGAGTTGGAAGGGACCTCCTAGAGATCATCCAGCCCAACTCCCCTGCCAAAGCAGGGCTGCCCAGAGCACATCACTCAGGAGCATCCAGGCGGGGCTTGAAGATCTCCAGAGAAGGGGACTCCACACCCTCCCTGGGCAGCCTGTCCCAGGGCTCTGCCACCCTCACCCCAAACAAGTTCTTCCTCACATTGGAGTGGAACTTCCCATGGTCCAGCTTGTGCCCGTTGCCCCTCGTCCTGTCACTGGGAACCACTGAAAAGAGTCTGCCTCCATCTTCCTTCAACCCACCCTTTAGATCCTTGTCAGCATTAATAAAGTCTCCCCTCAGCCTTCTCTTCTCCAGGCTAAAGAGCCCCAGCTCCCTCAGCCTTTCCTCATCAGGGAGATGCTCCAATCCCTCCATCATCTCTGTTGCCCTACGCTGGACTCTCTCCAGCAGTTCCCTGTCTCTCTTGAACTGGGGAGCCCAGCACTGGACGCAGGATTCCAGTTGTGGCCTCCCCAGTGCAGAGCAGAGGGGGAGAATGACCTCCCTTGACCTGCTGGCCACACTCTTCCCTACGCAGCCCAGGATCCCACTGGCCCTCTTGGCCACAAGGGCACATTGCTGGCTCATGGAGAGTTTACTGTCCACCAGGACCCCCAGATCCTTCTCCTCAGAAGTGCTTTCCAGCAGATCCGCCCCTAACCTATATTGGTGCCTGGGGTTCTTCCTCCCCAGGTGCAGGACCCTACACTTGGCCTTGTTGAACCTCATTAGGTTCTTCTCTGCCCAGCTCTCCAGCTGGATGGCAGCACAGCCCTCCGGAGTGTCAGCCAGTCCTCCCAGTTTGGTATCATCAGCAAACTTGCTGAGGGTACACTCTGTCCCCTCATCCAGGTCATCGATGAATATGCTGAAGGATCAGGTTTGCTGTGATCTGTGAATGGGTATCCCCAGGTCACTCCTAGAAGCACACCACGCAGAAGCAGAGCCAGCTGCTGTGAGGCCTTGTGTCCATGCTGCAGGGAGCCACTCCGAAAGGCTTCCCAGCCTCCAGCCTCAAGCATTGGCTCCACCGGGAGAGAAACAGCTTTCAACACAACCGTAGGACACTTAATCACACACTGCAGGGTGCCAAGTCTAGACACAATGCAGATTTGCACCAAAAAGTGTGGCGGTGTGCTCTCCCCCTCCCTCTCGGCTCCTGCCCGGCCTTGGCCACCACGGCCATCACAACAGCAACTGTGAGAACTTGCACCCGGTCTTTGGGGATGGCTGGCAGCAGAGTCAAAATACTGTCTGGAGTGGGGACCTAGAAATTTTGTTGCCATGAAAATAAGACTATAGGTCAATTATCTTACTGTATAAATAGTGGACAGCCCCAGAGCCCCTGGAGCTCTCCTGTTGCGCAGCAGGCTGCACGCCAGGATCTCCCCTTTGGTGAGGATGCTCACTGAAGGTTCTACTCCTCGAGGCTGAGGGATTCCTTGCCACAACAGACTCTCGGTAAGTGACTCATAGCATGCTAAACTTTGAAATTTTATCTACGTAATGTAAAGGATTGATTGTGCATATATAATCCTTTAGACATAAACCGTTGACCAAGTCTGGGACTTAGATCCAGCCGCACCCAGACTCCTCTCTGAGAAGGAGTTTAGAAAGCAAGGGGGTCCTTTCTGAACCTCGTGGCTCAACGGGAGGGTCTCCCTGACAGCTTGTCTGACCCTGTCCTCCGTGCAGTAAATAATAGAGTGTACCCTGACATCGAATCTTGTAAACACTATCGCATTTACCACTGCTTTTATCACACTACTGGTTTTGTTAAATCACTGTTTCACCTTAATAAATATTTCTCTGCTTCATTCTAACTAGTGAAGTTAATCACTCCGTCCGCGACAAAAAGCAGCTCTCCAACACGCTAAATCCTTAATACAGATGGATCTGGTGAATCGTGTCTCCTACAATTCTCCGAGTTCCCGAGACGTGACACATTTATCAGGATGAAATGACTTCTGGCTCCAGTGCCACCTCTCCCCGGGAGCGGACTGTGGAGCCCGTGGTTAGGGGAGAAGCAGCCCTGCCTGGGGATAAACTACAGCTCTAACCCAGTGCTCCGAGTGCCAAAGGGTACAGGAGAAACTCATCTGGGAGAAGTCCCTTTGACTAAAAGTCTCTCTTAGTGAGAATAACTTGTAAAACGCTCGCTTTAATATACTGGAAATATAAACCCTAGATTTTTATGATAATTTGTAATTTTAAAGATCCATAAATATGACTAATTTGGAACACACACCCTATTTAATGAAAAATATTCCAGTGATTTTATAAATAAATGATAAACTAGAACACTTACAGAAAACCAATACTTTACAGTGTAACTTCAAGTTTATGCATGTTCTAAACTTTTTTTCAACTCCTTTGTAGATAAAGAGACCATAGTGCTTTAATAACATCTACAGATCAACACAAAGAGTTCAGTGACGCCAAACGACACGTGAGGTTGTGCAGTTGTTGAGTAAATACTCTGTTATAACGGGTCATGCTTATACGATTAATATAAGGTACAGTACACTACAAAATTTGGTAATATGTGACCAATGCTAAAATAATTTGGAATACTCCAGAATTGAAAAAGTTTCATTTTGGGGGGTCAGTATATATTAAGTACGAGTAGATTTCCCTATTGGTGAATCACAGGATGCTATTGCAATTAGTTCTCAGTTTAAAATAGATGATATCATAGTAACAACTAAACAGCCAGTGATTAGAAATCAGGATTTAACTCCAAAGAGGTGATAGTTTTATGGTAGGTTCTTATTAACGAATTAGCAGCTCATGGAGGTAGGAGAACTCTTCATATTTCCATGGTATGGAAGGATATAACCAAAGTAACTTCCAACTGTGCAGACATATTATTTCAAATGCAAACTACACAGTTCTACTCTGGTTTACAAGTATGCAGTTCTTGCCATAAAATCTAAATGTAATCCAAGAATAAAGACTATCATTTGCATTGTCCTCCTCGCCCCCCTCCCTCCCCAAATTCTCTTGTTAATGTAGTACTTTCCATAGCTTCATGTGATGCAAAATAGATTTTTTAAAATAAGTCTCCCGCAACTACCAACAATTTTTTTTTAAAGTCTCACTGCAAATAGTGTGTATTTGTCATAATTTTAGTTTTCCAGGTC